ATCCTTGTGGGTCTCTGCCCTGCGGCTCCCCTACAGCTGAGTAAGCTCTACCACAATAACATATGATCAATAGCACATGAGGAAATGAAAGAAAAAAGTCAAAATAACAAAATATTTTACAGAGTGCAGGAATCACAGGGTGCGAGTGACTCTCAGAATCACTTTCCTGCAGGGCAAACTCAGCTGATTAAAAAGCTGTGATGAAGCCCTCATCTTGACAAACGGAGATGATAACTGATGACAAAGCACTTGCCATCAATTCCAAAGAGCGTCAGTGCTACCGTCTGAGATCAGTGTGCTGAGTGTGGCTTTTGTCAGGACATCAGATGGGAAACATGTTTGAGTAGGCAGCTGAGAGATCTGCCGTTAGGCCTGTTTTTAAGGAGGCGTGTTGATGTCTGTGTGTGTTAATGTGCCAGATTGACTCCAAGCTGATTCCCTCCCTTCAGCCCTCATTTCTGCTGCTTTATTGTTCTAAAAAGGCATGATGGCTTAGTGGTGGACAAAGGGGAGAGAAGAAATGACTGATGGCAAATGCTTCTCACGAGAGATGGAGCAACATCTCCAATTCTAATGGGACAGCAGAGGGTGGCTGGGTGGGGTTGGGGGGTCAAAACAGGTTGAAACCCCACAGGAAATAAAGCGCAAGTGTTTGAGTAGGAACGAAGGGGTAGGCTTGGGGATATCTGCCCCGTCACGGTCCTCATCTCATTTCCATAACTAAATCAGGGACGCGTGCCCTACTGTGTTTGTGTTGTACTGGCAGCTGCTGCTTTCGTTTGACAGACGCAGCACCCTCGCTAAATGTCACTGAGAGAGCTGCTTTGTGTCTGCTGAGATAAATGCATCTCACAAGCTTGATTTTCGAGAGTTTTATCATCCGTGAGGTTGCTTTGGCTGAAAAATGGAAAATCTGAAACTTATGCGTTTCTTTGATTCAAATACTTCTCGAGAACTGAAAGCTGAAACCTACTGGTCGGGCAGCATGTGGCTGCTTAATGACACTGACAGACAACACGAGAAGCTTGAACGCTCACAGGCGCATCTGCGTTAGCTATTACATTGATGTAGAAAAACAGGACAGGCAATGAGCTTCAGGGAAATAAGCAGTATTTTTAAGCTGCGTTGGAGTTCATGAATTATGAAACCATTAAATAAAGGTTTTGCCACGCATTCAAAAGTCACTTTAAGAGAGCTTAACTGGTTACATATGTGGTGTTCTGAACGACTGTGCAGATGGTTCTTCTTGTAGTTATGCTACAGACATAAATGTTTCAGTCAACATCTTCATCTCTGTCACATCCAGGTCTAAAAATAGTATTCCTGTTTTTATTCAGCTAAATCAGAAACTCGAAACGCTGTGACTGAATTCTCAAATGCTGAATGCTTTAAATGGTTGAAAAGGAACTTATACACCAGTGAAATACGGCCTGGATGAGTTCCAGCAAGATAAATACTTGGCTTTGTTTCAACTCTAACTGACTAATGTGCCTTTTTTGTTAATGCTTTCATTTTCTAATTATGATGCAAGCAGGGGCGATTCTAGGATCAACCATAATGTTGCACATACAGTGCTTTGAACTTAATATTAACAGACTATGTTTGCAAATCTCTTTAGATCTCGATTCAGTTGCATACAGATTACATTGTTGGCTTCAACTCCATTCAATTTTATTTATATAGATTGATATTACAACAACAGTTGCACTTTATATTTTAAGGCGAAGCCCCAAAATACGAAATTTAGAAGCAACCCAATTAGCTGGATGGTCTACTGTAGTGTCTTAGAATAATTCATAGTAAGTAATCAATATTATTCACTAGATTTAGGATGGGCCCTTTAGAATTTTCCAAAGTAAGTTAAAGAACAAGTTGTGGCAAAGCAGAAAAGAGGACAAACATACACAGCATTGTTTCAGTCTCTTAACCACATACAGCAGAGGCAGACCACCAAATCATTAAGCACTTACAGCACCATTATTCAGTAAAGACAGTGGGAAATCACCCTGCCTCTCCACACAGCTGGACAAGGAGCAAACTGGTAACAGAGTCGGTTTTACACAAATGTTTTGTAATTCATACAAACCTGTATTGTCCAGACTCAACACAGAACATTGTGTATTCAAAATGTCAAGAGTGGAGAATAGATTGTAGTCTGTCACATGAATGTGGACAAACATAATTTCTTGAATGTGACATGTGCATTCGTTTCTTTTTGCTCCCTCTCTATCCTCCTCTCAGTCTTTGTGTTGCCACCCAAACGTTTAATGTAACAATGAAACAGAATATGCTACAAATGTCTAGTGATCTAGCTAAAGTCAAATATAAATAAGTAGACACTTTATAAGTCACAACAATACCTCCACATTGTCAGAACAGTTTGCACTTTTGCTATGTTTCAGTTGATGAAACATAGAAAACAACAACAGCAACAAAAGTCTTATTCGATAATGAATCCATTAAAAACAATGGCATAAAAATACTACAGTGCATTATTATGATTATTGTGTTTTTAGTGGTGCTATGAAGAAACATATGGGGTGTTTAGACTCTTTTTATGGGTGCTCAAACTCACCTATGGTTACAAATAAAGAGATCAGTTTGCTAGTCCAAGGATGTTTGTGTGGTGCTGCTGTCTAGTGGGTGTATCTGGTATTACCCCTAAAAGCAAAAAGGGTAAAAGGTTAGTCCATCATTTGCAACTACAGTTTTTTATTTACCATTATTATATATATATATATATATATATTTTTTTTTTTAAGAATAAAACCCCTTAAAGTCTCTTCTTGTTTTTAGGGTTCTATACTCATTACTTTAATAATATCCATCTATCCATTCTCTGCCGCTTATCCTTTTTCAGGGTCGCGGGTGGGAGCCTATCCCAACTGTCTTGGGGTGAAAGGCAGGGTACACCCTGGACAGTATGTCTGTGAAGGTTCTCAGTCATCCAGGTCACCGTAGTCTAAGGAGTCTAAGTCTTAAGGGGTCCACTGTCCCTCTGGGGGGACACTCCCACAGGGCTTAAATCTGGGACTCTCCACCATTTGACCCCAGAACTGAAGAAACTTCTCGGATGAGAGGTAAAACGTCTTCAAGCAACTTAAAGAAGTCCAGAGGCTTTTCTTTCCAAGCTCCTTAGAGTACATCCTGGACAGGTTGCCAGTCTGTCACAGGGCTAAGACATAGACACAGACAACCACTCACACTCATATTCCCACCTAAGGACAATTTAGATTTCCAGTTAAACTAACTGCATATCTTTGAACTGTGGGAGGAAGCCGGAGTACCCCGACAGAACCCACACAAACACGGGGAGAACATGCAAACTCCACACAGAAAGAGCCTGGCCTGATGGTGGAATTTAACTCAGGATCTTCTTTCTGTAAACAACAGTGCTAACCACAATGCCACCCACTTTAATAATATATGACTTTTCTATTTATGTTTTAAACTGTTTTGTTGATAAATGTTAGGAACCACACTGTGTGTTGAAATTTGCTTGTGAAGGCAACTACTGCTACTGAAAAGGTAGCAGTAGTACAGTTGACAGTAGGTATATATATATATATTCTTGCAGTGGCCAAGTGAAAGTCCAGATCGCCATTGATTGTGGCAAGGCTTAAAGAAAGCGGAGCATAGCTCAGTTAACTCAATTGAGTGACTGATAGTGTCATACAAAAGACAATTACATCAAATTATTGTTCTAAAAGTTATTGTACTAAGTGTGCTCGGGTTTTCCACACACTGCTTTGTCATTTTGGCTCAGTTATTGTTAAGTAATGACACAGTGTAATGTGTCATGTGCTGTTGTTCATCTCATGTTGTATTTATCTAATTTTAAGACTTGATAACGACTAGATCTTTTTTTATTGTGTCCAGATATGCAAAACTCTAGAACTGACAGAGAGTGTACTTTGATTATGACTACAGATGGTAGGGAAGGAAGCAGCATGGGCAGGAAGTTCCCCCAACTCTGCGTTCCTGCCTCACACTACCACCTGGCTGAATTCCAAAACTTAGGAGAAAAATGGCACTTTTTTTCTTTGTTTGTCTTTTTGATTTTGCTCTGGAAAGTGCATTTAAAATTCTTTATCTACTTAGATGGAACACTAAACAAAGATGGGATAATAATTTATGACAAGATTTCCTTTCTCAACAAATAACTCTAGCTGTACTTTGACCCGTGCTGGCTGGCTTACATTATCAGCCAGCTTTTCCTGCATTTCCCAGACTATAAACTCAGATAGTGTCAGTGAACCAAAGCGTATAATCTTAGGGTTATATAAAACAACATGAGTGAAAGAAACATTCCCGACTAGCTCCCTTGCTTTTTAATAACAACATGTCTACTTTATTTTCCTTTTTTTAAGTCGAGTTTAACTGAAAAGTGCTTTTTATGTCCCCACCCCCTCATGAAGAAATGTTTAAAAGGTTAATGCCACCTTAACTGCATTTTGGGTTCTAGGTATTTTGGCAGACTCACACAACTGAGCAGTGTGAGGTTACTATGAAAAAGTCTGTCCTTATTTGACCCCTATCCTTCTGCCTGCACATAGGAGACTGTTGACCAGCTTGTGCACCACATATAACCCAGTAGCAGTTGGTCACAGCTATGAGATTAATGAGGACCTGGTGCCAGCGTGCACTTGTACATGCATTAGGGGTAAATCATGGAAACTTTACCCTTTATTTCCCGAAATCTCTGTCTGACTGTTCATATACAAGCACTCATCTCTCATTTTGTACTGTAAAAGATAGCCCACTGTGTGTCCTAATGTAACCACAACAAATGTGAGCCCAAAGTCTCCACTCTGTCTGAATGTAAGCAGTGAAGAAAGCACATGGAGATGGGTCAGTAAGAGAAGTAATGTGCCCTTGTATTGCCTTTGTTCTGCAGTCTAAACTCTGCCTCGCTCCCTTCTTTGCTAGTCCTATCACATGCTTTGCTCGCTTGTTTACTTGCACTAGTTTGGTCACTCTCAGTCTAAGCTCCCTCCCTCTCTTTCTCTCTACACTCTTCTTTCCATCCAGCCTCTCTCACCCACCCACCAGTTGATTCCTGCTTAGTGTTATGTGGCGATAAGGGCAGAGACGAAACGGGAAAGAAAGCTCTAAAGAGACCTTTTCTCTCAAGATTTGGCTTTTTGCTGCTGCAGCTTTAATTCCGCTACTGTGAGTATCTTTCTTTGCCCGATCCAATAAACAGGCTGTAGTGTTGTTTGGCAAGGAACACTTTAGGAAATAGATGAAATAATAGACCAGTCTCCTTGCTCACACAACCCCAAACAGCAAGGGAGAGGAGGCGGACGTGCAGAGAAGCAACATAGATTGAGCTGAGAGATTTCTAGAAGTGTGTCAAAATGAGCAGCCTAAAAAACCCACACGTTTAATGCAAATTAAAGTAAATCATAGCTACTGGTTATTTTTGCAGAATAAAAACTGAACTTCAAGATTTGTTGATGCAACTCTGTATAATTTTTTGTTTGCCAGTGGGTCTTTGAGTCAGTTTTATTCTGCAGAAAGAAAAGGTGTTGTAAAGGCACAAACCGAGTCTCTTATTTCTTTTCAAATATGTGTTTGTAACACAGTTTAAATGTTTCCATTTACCTCTGCCCTTTCAGAAGGTCAGCTCAGACACTTCAACTGACTCATGGCCAATTTCCACCATTTTCACTTGCTGTGTATGGGGGTGGGTGTTGAGTAGTGGTTTGCCAATATGAGTGAGGACCAGTTTAAATTATATACCATTAGAGTGAGGGCGTTTTTAGGAAAGTGAGGCAAGACCTCACTTTGGCACAGACTTTCAATGCATTATTTGAGTGTTACAATTTGGTATAGAGTTCAGTTTAGAAATGAGAAAAGGCTGGGGTAAGGGGTAGGGATGTAATTGTGATGGTTATGATAAGGGGCTATGGAATGAATTTCCTCTGTGAAAATCCTCAAAAAGATAAATGTGCAAATTGAGGGTGTATGCTGTGCAGACATACTTGGTACATACTTTGTAGGGACTTTGCCACCTAACAGGGATTTTAGAAACATGTAATTCATTGGACAGGTACTTCTAAAAGGTAGTTATTATCTGAAATGAACTAGACCACTGGTATGGACCCTGCAAATAATACCAGGTAATAGTTTGTTTAGGTAAACTTTAACTATCAAGGATCAGACTTAATTTCTGTCTTAGTGCCTTTCTGTTAAAGCACTGTGCAGAAGTCTTGAGCCACAACTCATTTCTATATATTTTGTTAGCAAAACAGGAAGTAGATGTAACGATTTTTGAAACATCCAAAAACACATGGAAACACAGTAAATAATATTTTTAAAAACTGCATTAGAAGTGTTTTTGGGATGATTTAATTTGTGCTGGAAAAATGAAGCCATTACCAATCAGAAACTTCCCAAATTACACTGAGCGTGGATATAAATCTGATGTTATATTCCTGTGTTCATAATTTCATCATTTTGACAGAATCCCCAACACCAACGGCTGAAATGCAGGCCCAGACTATAACAGAGCCTCCACCATGTTTCTCAGATGGATGTAGACACTTACTGCTGCACGTCTGTCCTGACTTTACTCACATGATTTGAGTCAAAAATATCAAATTTAGGTTTATCACTCCATACCTCAGCCTTTTCTCCCCATTTCCCATCCTTAACGATGGCTTCTTGTCAAATACCCTTCCACTGTGACCATTTCTGGCGAGGCTTCAGTAAAAAGTTAGTGGTTCAGCTTAAGAGTAAAAGCTATATTTCAGGTCCTCGTCTGTTTTTTTCAGGTTTTTTATCTTTTCCATCTTTCTTTTTTTTTTTTATCCTTTTTATCATTTCCATTTCTTAAGTAGAATACTTCAGATACTGTTCATCAGATATTGTTTAACTGGGTTTAGGGCTGCTAATTCTACTTCTGTCCTCAACTTGTCCAGTTTCCTCAAATCTTTTAAAGGACATGCTGCACACCATGCCGAGCTTCCAGCTAATAACTTTGAGAATCACTTCCCTAAGAATCCCTGTTTGGGTTTACCAGATGAAAAGCAGATAAATGGACAAACATAAACATGACTTCATTCTCTTAACCACATGCAGTAGAGCAAGTCCACATAATCATCAAGTACCTAAAATAAGACACCTATTTGTACTTGTTGACCTTATATCCATCCATTCATTTTTTTTTCCTGCTTATCCAATTCAGGGTAATGGGGGCAGAGAGGTGGGGTGCACCCTGGACATGTTGCCAGTGTTTCACAGGACTTGACCTTATAACATCTTAGTTTAACAAACAACCCAGAATTTCATGAATGCATCCAGTTAACTTCTTTCAGATAATCTGTTATAGCAGATCTATTGACAAGTAATTAAGGATTACAACCTGTTCATCTGGGCAATATAAAAACTCTATTAGCCCAATTTTAACCTATTTTAAGCAGACACTTTCATTACATTTAAGGAATCTCAAATATCTATTGATCAGGCTACTGCTAAATAATGTTTGATGTACAGATTGTTATTTAAAAGCTAGCTAGAAATACCGTCTCTGCTTTGTTATGTGCAACAGGGAATCAGACGAATCAGGTGAATCTCATTAAGTGCTTTATAAAGGTGGCTTGGAAGAGTGCCAAATCCTCTTTTTGGTAGTCTGGCCACCTCATTATCTTTTGCTTTAGAGTAGCCAGATAATAAACCATAATAAAAAGCACTTTGATGCATGCTTAAACATCCAGTTAAGTAAATCCCAAAAGGCTGATTCTGTTCATCTGGACGTAGCGTTTTCAGTGGGAGAAACGTTTCGCCACTCATCCAAGTGACTCCTTCAGTCTCAGCTGACTGCAGGCTTCCCCAACCTGCAGCTGAACGAGTGACGAAATGTTGCTAGATCCAGATGAAAAAAATCAACCTTTTGGGATATAGTAAAAGTACTAACAATAGTGTTATTTTGATATTTTATGACATTTTGCATTCCTAGAGATGGTACAGGATAGAATGAAAACAGATTGAACCCTTCCGTGTTCTTGTTGTCATGATGTTACAGTACAGTCACACAGGCGTTGTTACTTCAACAGTGTGGCTTGTCATTAATAAATAAGACTTTTGTTGCAGTGGCAAAAAGATGAAGAGGTAATTTCATGACCCAAATCACTGGTGCAGATTTAAAACACACTTTACATGAAATACACCAAACATTTCAAAGTGTTCTGATAATGTGGGGACATTGCTGTGTCTGTGTATTTTTGCTTTCTAAACAGTGTCAGAAACATTAGCTAATGTAGGCTAGATCACTACAGATTATTAGCTAAGTTGGATGTACTTTATTATTTTAGTTAGTTAAAAGTTCTGTCCCTGTTCTGGAAAATTGGGCTTCATTATTTGTTTATGGTACAGCTCTAGTGCCAGGTAACAGCAAGTGAAAATAATGTTACCTATCAATGGGCAGCAGCAGTCTGTATTCAATTTAGATATTGCTGTTCATATGTCCAGGTGTATCGACTGTCAGGGTGTTTTTTCACTGTCTTTATTAAATAACGGTCATGCAGAATCATGCATAAATACTGACAGAACAATAAAACTGATGTAAAATTGTTTGATGCAGACAAGATAAAGGAATAAAGCTGCATCTAATAATCTACAATACCATTGTTCATCAGGCATGCACAAAGATTTTACATGCTCTTGAAAAGCTTAAACTCTCCTATCATCAATGCACATAGGTCAGAGGGATCATCCATGGCAAGAGAAGTGATTCATCAGTAGACAGTGATTTCTTATCTGCCAATCTCTGATCTAGAACCTAACATGCTCTGGAGTAAGTTGGGTTTGCACCCTACGTTACTATAGTGATGTTCCCAAGTGAACCACTTTGGTAGTACTGAAAACCCAGTTACCACAGTGATGTTCCCAGGTAAGAAGAGAGCCACCCTGGTAGTAGTGAAAACCTTGAGTTAACCTTGAAGTTACCTGGATTTTAGTGTGCAATATTCAATACCTGCTGCCACTGACATCCAACCACCGCACTGTGAAACATTCTGTTCTGCTGCTATTAGCATACTGTACTATTGTATCATATATACATATAAATACATTTATTTATATCTAAATTATATTTTTTCTGCCTTGTATAATGTATAGTTTCTTCTATGTTTGCATAGTATTGTTGTTCTTAGGTATACTGCATCTATTTATTTATTCCTGCCACGTCCACTACTGCTGCTGTAACAATGTGAATTTCCCATCTCTGGGACTAATAAAGGCTATCTTATCTTATATGACAATTAATACTGCTTCTTACTATTACTCTAGTATCAGATCTAGAAATTTTTACATGGGGGGGGCAAGTGAGTCAACTCAGTGAAGTATGTGAAAATCCCCTATATGTAAATGGACTCAACAAAATATCCACAAAAGCACTTTAAAAATATTTATTGTTATTATGTCTTCTAAGAAAAACGTTTTTATGTAGGTAGATAGGTTAGTTTAGACAGGTGCTGGGGGGGAAGGCTAGTACCCTCGAATGTTAAAAATATTGTGTCGGAAAGAGAGATGAAACTCTTTCTTTTCCAGGTTTTATAGCAGTGATGTGAATGCGACATTGCAGAGTAAACATAATTAAGAACACTAATTATGGCCTTATTGTATTAGTGCTGTGCATCCTGGCTCACTGCAGTGACGGTGACACTACACAGTGCAGCGCCTAATTGTATTTATCAATTACACCCGTGTTCACCCTGCCAGCAGCGTTTGTATGGCTCCTGCTGCTGCTGAGTGTTTTCTTCTCTCTAAAGACTCCAGTGTTTAACCGTCACTGACCTGTAGCTCAAGTTATACCGCCGAGGTTTGTCTCTAAGGTGTCTATGACTATATGCCAGTAAAGTCATAATGATGATAATGTACATTTACCTGTTTCTAGATGCTGCGTTTGACTACTGGGCGCGTGGGAAGCCTCCTGGCCAGGCGCGCGATAGCTGCCGTGACTACCAGCAGCACGAGGATGGCGAGCAAAGGTGAAGATTGAAAACCTCTGAAAAAGCTCACAAAGGGGATTTAGCTCATGGCCGACATGGGATTTATAGGTCCACTATAAATATTTTAATCTTACTTTTATTTAATAGTATAAGTAAAATGGCATCTCTAAAGTTTTTTTCTGTCTCACAAAAAAGGGTAAATACTGACAAGACCTTAAATTTTCAGAGCATAAACTTTTCAGACATATGTTAAGCTAACATGGAGATATGAAGTTTCTATCACAGCAGCGATGTGGAATTTGAAAAGTAGGCAAACACAGGTGTAAATTAAGGCTTAAAGTTATTGATAAAAACTGAAGTGTTTACCAACAATTTCATGCTAAAATGGCTGCAGTTTATATTGTTAATATTAGTAATGCCAGAAACTGACGAAGATCGTCACCATAGAAAAGACGTGATCAAAAGGAATTATGGATTTAAGTCAAGTAATGTGATTTGTTAGTGGAGGGGTTTCCCATCATGCAGTATACTGAGTTAAACAGCAGATGGCGCTTATGTGCTTTCATAACTACACACTCATATAGACAAGATGGTACCTGGGCTTATCAATGATAGAGTGGGTTGTGAGGGGGAACAAATGTACACTGCTGAATATCTTTGTATCTGTGCCTCCAGAGGTGTCCGAGTCAGTGGACATGTCTCAGCCAATGTACTGGGACCGTGTGGACATCCCACTGCCTGACAAACCCTACAAAGATGTCCTGACTGATGCTGACAAGAGCCTGAAGCAGAAAGAGAAAGGACCCTGGGGTCAGCTGACTAAAGAAGAAAAGATTGCCTGTAGGTTCTTTAGTTTAGCTCATTATGCTCAGTAGAAGGGGGGCTGTGTTATTGATGCACTCATCTTACCCCCCTCCTCCCCTCCTGCAGTGTATCGGCTGACGTTCTGCAAGACCTACCCAGAGATGAAGCAGCAGACAGCAGAGTGGAAGACGGTCATTGGGGGCATTTTCTTCTTCCTGGGTTTCACAGGCATAGTGATCTGGTGGCAGAGTGTCTACGGTAAAATCTGACTTTTGCGGCCTGAAAAAAAGTTAAACCAGTCTCTCTCACAACTTAACACAAGCAATGCCTGTGGCTGAGAACACCAAACCTTTCTTGTCAACATCACACACTTCAGTGCCATTTTTTTTTCTCAGCAGACTTTCATTAAGGAAATAACTAATAGCATTAAAGATGGCTCTGGCTCTTTTCTAATCTCCCAGTGAGTCAAACCAGCTGGGCCAGAAAGGACCTGAACAGAGCCTGGCACAGCTAGATGAACATCAGGCTTTAATAATGCAACTGTTTATTAGTGTTTGGCAAGTTAATTACAGGTGGTACTGGAGTGTGAGCATCATGTGAGTTGCATTCTTTTGTCCTTGTAGTCTACCCTCCACGTCCCAGGACCTTTGATGACGAATGGAAGTCCCAGCAGCTGAAGAGGATGTTGGACATGAAGATCAACCCCATCCAGGGCATCTCTGCCAAGTGGGACTATGAAAAAGGCCAGTGGAAATAAAGAGGGGCTAGGCAGGGGGCTGAGGTAGCACAGTCTGGACCTTTTACCTGAGAGTGTGGCTCAGTTCGACTATAGGAAGCTGCTATTGTTTTTGAATGCTGTTACGACTGTCAAAACCACTAGAAAGATGGAGCCTCTCTAGGGAATTGTACTCTGTTACCTCTAGCTTTCCAAACAGTATCTTCCTCTAACGCCACTTTAGCCTTCAGTCACAGGGATAACTCTGTCCGTCCTGATGTAACAAAATAAAGTTTGGCTTTTGTCTGTCATGTGTCAGGTGTGTATATTATGGAGTCCTGTGTAACTGTGCCATTAACATTTATCAGAACTTTGAGAATATTTACCTCCACCAAGGAGGTTATGGGATATGAATAGATTCTTAAAGGTATGGACTGATTTCAGTTTTTGCCAGCAGTGGAAATCATTTTAAAAGGAAATGACTTTAAGTTAATCTGGGTCCAGTAATTGTTCTAAAGGATTGTTTTTATTGTTCTAAGGTAAGACTACTGGCAGACTCACTTATTTTGACAAATATGAAAAGAAAAAGCCTAAATTCTCAGTATTTGAGAGCCTTTTGTCTAACTTGTAAAGATGCAGGCAGTCAGGCTGGCTAAGAAAATGCTCTAGAAGGCTGCGTTCACACATGTAGACTGCACATCAGTTTAAAATATGGTAAAAGTACTTTTAGTAAGTTCTTCTATGGAGATTCTGCATAACAAAAACAATAGCTGAAGCATACATGGGTATAGGGCATGATGCTACAGTTTAAGGAAATAACAAAATGTGCTTTGCCTGACAGCAGCAAACTTGTCAGAGTCCTCTGGTTTTGTGTGGTTCATGTTTGAATTATTGGATAGTTGACTGTGTGTGTGTGTGTGTGTGTGTGCTCATTGCTGTTCTGCTGTTTGAAATTTGGTTTCTCGTGTTTGACTTTCAGATCATTTCCCTGTGGTGAGTTTTAGTTCATGAATGAGTCATGATGCCTGATTTTGCTGTACGGTTATTCTACTGATGAGTTCAGTTTTGCAAATCTGTCTTTGGATTTTTAGTACTTTTAGTTCCTTCAGTTTGTTCTGTTTCTTCCTCCCTCTGTCTGCGCTTTGTGATGGTGCCTGTTATGAAAGGTTACTTTTTTTTCACGTCCGGTATTAGTTTTACTTCCTGTCTGTCTGTTTTCCTCTGATTCCCTGATTGTTCTCACCTGTGTTAATCACGCTCTGTCTGTTCGTGTTTGTCCTTGTTCAAGCAGGCTCACTAAACTCTTTTATATTTTTCCCTTTTAACATTTGTAGTTTATGTGATTTTGTTGAACTATTTTGTAATGTATTTTATTGAGCTATACTCTATTACAGATTGTCTTTACCTCTCTAAGACCCAACCCATCAAAACATAGCAAGAAAATTCTATTTTTTTTTTTTTTTTTGGAACTGAAATGTTTATTAACCCTTGTAACAAAATCCTACATTACATTGGCATTACAGGGTTAATGTTTTGGCACCTGTAACACAGGAGTTTCACAACTTTGGGGTTAACCGTATCTGAGTTAACACACAGTAATATTCGTTTTATTAGATAACCAACGCACTCCCCTGACTCGGCTGTCTATTTATGCAGCAGAATTTTGCATCTCTTATCTGAGATATTATCACTGCCTGCTGTGTCAGCCCCTTCACCACCCCAGCATCCACCTGCAGGCTCTGAGAGAACAATGTGACTCATGTCAGTGTCCACAGGCAAAATACCAAGTTTTACTATTTAACTCAACTGATAATAATAATAATGGATTACATTTATATAGCGCTTTTCGAGATCCTCAAAACACTTTACAATTCACTGTCACATTCACACACTGGTGGAGGCAAGCTACAGTTGTAGCCACAGCTCCCCTGGGGCAGACTGACAGAAGCGAGGCTGCCATATCGCGCCATCAGCCCCTCTGATGACTACACATATATATTATTATACTCTTCTACTGCAATGACTCATTTGAAACCCTAGCTTTCTATTTAGCTAATCAATAAAGTTAATATTAGAAGTTTAGCACTGTTGATCTAAAAGCTGACTGAAATCTCCATTGCCTCATTACATCATGGTTGACCTTTATTTTCGCAACTCCCATTTCCTCCCATCCACTAAGCAGTCTTCTGTGGCATAAAATTAACTTTCTTCTGGCTGATTTCAGCTTCTGGCAAATACCCTGAATATTTAACAGCATATGTTCACGGGCTAACTCTTCATGCATCTCTGCTCCAACACTCCCCTCCACTATCCAAGACATCAGAAAAAGAGACTCGGCATATCTTCCAACAACAGGCTTTATTAGGTTCAGTGTCATTTCAAATTTTACATTGGCATTCTAAAGACATACAAAGTGACCATTGGACATGACAGCAAACTTTAATTTAGACCCAACAGGAACACACCGGATAACTTTTTTTGAAAACGTTTTCTTGATTTGTTTGCATTTATTTTCATCTACTAGCAGTCCAACAGTCCTAAAGAAAAGAAAAAAAACCCACGACTGACAGTGCACATGGATGCAACGATGGAATTTAAGGCCATTTGAAGGAGCACAGTTATGCTTTTTTTTTCCTTTTTCTATTTTTTGACACCAAATATAAATAAAGTTGAAAGCCATCAGGTCTGTTTTAAATATTTCACTAAGCTAATACTATTCTAATCAGCTTAAATAACTAGCATATATATGTGGGGGGGTCGTGCCAATGCTGTCACACTTCCTTCATTTGTGCCTCCCTTCTGCCAGAAAGAAATTCACACACATGCTCCCGCACACACGCACACACACGCACACATCTATAAATGGGTAAGAAAAGAGCTCGTTAGAGTCAGGGGCCCGGACAGCAGGGACAAGCCTGTGAGGAGCTTTGGATGGGGCTAAAAAAATAGATATATACTGTACTGGAATGTTTGAGAACATACCCTGGCTAACAAAGCGGTGAGGAGAACACGAGCAAACCAAACGATACTGATTATTCAGGCTATGCATTTTGTGTGATTTTGGTGAAATTTTCATAACCAGGTCAAAAATCAGGGTATTAACAGGAAAAATATGTGGACGGTAACATAAAGGAGCCAATATCTGACGTGAGTGATGAGTCCTTGTTTTGAACATGGAGTCAAAGCTGGTAGCTGGACACCATGATGGATGTCTCAACCACAAATCCTTTTTCTCTCTCTTGTTTGCATTACACTCTGTTCCTTTAATGTTTACTAGGTGTGGCTGAGTGTAGTGCCTCGATGAGAAAACAGCACTCGCCTGTAAAGCTCCACAGTGCTTTATTGTGCTGTAGGACATACTGTTCAGCAGAGAGAGGGAGAGACGCTGTTTGGAATACGATCAAATTTGAAAGCAGTGGGAAGATTCTGGGAACGGGAATGAGTGTACTCCCTTCTCCACCACCACCACCCCAACCCCATCCTTCCCAGTAAATTAATCGAGCAGTTGTTAGTGCACAACACGCCAGGCGACAAACACTCTTTGACTTCAGCTTCAAATTAAAGAAGGATAGGTGTCTCCTTCCCTTCCTCCATCTCCCGTGGACCGGCTCTGATTGGCACGTGCGTACATGTGTCTGCGAAGCAGCAGGTGGGCCAGCTGTGACTGACACACGTGACTAAGTGCAGTGACAGCTGGGGGACCACGGGAGGAAGAGGTGGAGCTGGATGGCAAGGGGAAGAGGAGAAGAGACGGATGGCGGTTTGACAGCTCTGAAGCGTCTGGGGAGGACAAAGGAGGTGGAAAAAGAGGGGTGGGAGGGGTTTGTGGATAACTGGAATTGAGCGAGATGAGATATGAATGTTTAGATTTTGAGTTTCATGCTCCTACAGCCACTGACAGCTGCTGATTTGCTCAAGATGGTACACAGACACGAGGTGACACATTTCTTTAGCTCGCAGACGACGCGAAGCAGAACCGCATCGTCTCCTGAAGGACAGCCGCTTCATCAGTTTGCTACATAAATCTGCTTGCTCCGGTGACGATAACACGAAGCATGAAGTGTGTCACTGATCAGTGTCAGATGTGACTAAAGGCTCAAAAATAAAAATTGATTAGGACACAGTGGGGAAAATAAACTATAGGGAGGAAAAAAAACATAAACAGCTGTGTGTTTGAACAGTGCAGCTCATGATTAGGATTTTATTGCAAAATAATCAGTGAAAATGACTCAAACACTTTCATCTACACCCCCCAAAAAAGAAATCTTAAACGAATGGTCTATTTAAGCAGTTATGGCTGCATCTAGGGGCTGTTTTCATTGTCAGTTAATTAAAAGCAGCATTATAGAAGTTGGACCCAATGACTTTTAGATCAGTAACAATCATCAAACCAGTTGCACCTTAATTGATTCATAATTGCAGCTTTATAGTAATATAAAGTAGCTGTAAATCCTGTGAAGCATCTGCACCTGGAGTATGAACAGGCAATAGACGACTGCTATTAGAGCCACGCTGATAACTGCGTCAACAATTCTGGTAGACCTCCAGTGTTGTGCAGGGGTCATAAAGTCAAATACAGAGCATTTGGTCATTTATATCAACACTTTTGTTATTTAAGCTCTTACCACATGATTATTTTTGAACTGCCGAATCCATCTTTGCTCTATGTGATGAAGGCCATAAAGTGTAGTTGAAACCTTGTAAGTGGATCTTGATCATGTATGAATGAGGCCAGTCGCACTCATTCATACATGATTTGTTCATGTGAGCTGTTACATTGTCAGTTACTGATTCATACACCTGTTACTGATGCCTCATAGGAATTACACTGCAGCAGTGTTAGAATATATGACGTTTTTTTATACTGTTTATAGAGGAGGGGGTGTTCAAACAAAGTAGTACCAAACATATCACCCAATGACAATCTTGAAGTGGACCTATTAAGGGCATGACTCACAGTCCTTAGATCGTATACTGGGCTTTGATGCCATTTTAGCCCCCTTACACTTCCTTTCAGGGAAGTTTTATGATTGGCTGCCTCTTGTAAACACAAAGCTTAAACAGCGAATGTGAGTGGCTGCTGTGCTAATAGCAGCAACATTATATGGAGGAGGAGATATGGCACTCAAAGATTCCCAGATAAAAATCTGTGGGAGAATTCTGAGACGCTAATGTTGGTTCCCTGGCTCTCTCGCCAAAAAGCCAATCAGCAGCTGAAATTGGAGAATTATTAGCCAATCATGTGTTTACATGTGTCAGAGAGAAAGAGTTTCGAAACTTTTTCACTGTGCGGTGTCGGGCACTTCACTAT